GGGTCGGGATCCCACGGGGAGGCCCCCAGTAGGGCCTGGGGAGGGGGGTTCCCATGGAGGGGGCCACGATCCCACGGGGAGGCCCCCGGTAGGGCCCGAGGTGGGGTGATCCCATGGAGGGGGCCCAGGAGGTCTCACGGAGGGGCCCCGCTGAGTCCATGGTGCCCGTGGGCAGACGGAGGTGCTGGACGAGGACCGGCGGTCGGTGAGCGCTGTGGACTACTACTTCATCCAGGAGGACGGGAGCCGCTTCAAGGTGGGTTCCCTGGGAGGCCGGGTGGGGCACAGGGTCCCACGAGGGGACCCGCCGCCATCACCTGTCTCCTCTCTCCTAGGTGGCCCTGCCCTACAAGCCCTACTTCTACATCGCCACCCAGAAGGTGAGGAGGGGACCTGGGGAGGGCTGAGGTCCCCAGGGAAGGGGACAGCAGGTCCCTGCAGAGCACAGGACCTCCTGGGCATCCTGCTTTGGGACAGTCTTCTCCCAAGGGCCAGAGCCGCGCTGCTCAGCCCCAGGGTCTCTCGGCAGGGCTGCGAGCGAGAGGTGTCCTCCTTCCTCTCCAAGAAGTTCCAAGGGAAGATTGCAAAGCTGGAAACCATCCCCAAAGAAGACCTGGACCTGGTCTGTGTTCCTCTGCCCTCTCTGCTCTTGAGTAGCCTTGGGGTTTTTTTGGGCCTTGCACAGCTCTAGTGAAGTAGGGAGGGACTGAGCAGTGAAGGGAAACAGTGTGCTTGACTTCTATTTCCTAGTGCTGCTTGTGGTGCCAATCAGAAACGGGTCAGTTGTGGCTAATTACTTATAGTAGCAATTATGTTCCTCTCCTTGAGCACATCAGCTGTTTCACAGCGCGTTCAAGACATGTAATTGCAGGAATTAAGGAATGGTTGGAGGAGGAGAGGGTTCTCTGGGAGGGGAATGCTGGTCATGCTTCACCAGCTCTTCCTCTTCCCTGGGTGAATCCCTCTCGTGGTCCTGCCAGCGCGGGCAGCAGGACCATAGCTCTTGTGCTTTTCCCACCAGAGCCTCCTCTCTGTGTTTGACTCTCCCACCCATTGGCGTCTCTTTTTTTTGGCCAATCCTGCCACCTGCCCCAGTCTAGTCTGCCTTCCACACCCTCTGTTACGGTGGCTGTCCCTCAGTACTCATCCCCCCTGAGCTGGCATTGTCTTGCTGCTTTGCAGCCCAACCACTTGGTGGGCCTGAAGAGGAACTACATCAAGCTGTCCTTCAGCACGGTGGATGACTTGGTGAAGGTGCGGAAGGAGATCTCTCCTGCTGTGAGGAAAAACAGAGAGCGAGACCAGGCGAGCGATGTCTACACGGCCATGCTGTCGAGGTGGGAGCTCTCGTTAGGATGACCGGTTGGTCCCTCGTGTTAATAATTAGTGTCCCTTGGTTATTTCTTAGCTGTCCGTAGAGAGATGTTGTCCTGCCTGGGGTCTGACCACAGCTATGCCTCTCTGCCACCCATCTCAGAGGTGGTTCTTCCAGCTCAGTGCTACACATCAAGAGGTCCCAGAACCTCTGGGCCATGATGTGCTGTGGTGGTACCTCCCCTGCCTGCCAGTCAGATAGATTCCCTGTCCCCTGGGAAAGGATACTGAGGCACTGGGCACCTCCCTCCCAGCTGTGACTAAAGGGGGGAAAACCCAACATCTTCTATATGACTAGAAAGCCAGGCACTTGTTTACAAGATGGCAAACACAGCTGCAGACAGAAAAAAAATAAGAAACTTTGGTTTTAAAGTCGACCAGAATATGAAAAGTTCACCCCTCTCTGTGGTTTCCTGGCCCTGAAGTCTGATTTCAGTTGAGACCTGAGGGAGAGGAATGGCGTGAGATGGGGGCTCCCTGCTCACCTGGAAGGCATACCGTCCCTCTTCAAAGAGCTCCCCAGGTTGCCTCGTTATGCTTAGACTCGTTACCTTGCTTACAAATGCAGTGCTGTAAGCACTGTTCATGAGGTGGGCACGGGTGGGTTTGGCCCGCCTGTCCGTCTGAGCAGACACAGCTCCCGAACGTGAGGAAAGGTGAATTTGGACAGGAGCAATGGGACTGCACATGTTGCCCCTCCCCGGGACACCTCTGCAAGCAGAGGGTGGTTGCACAGTGGGGAAGCGTTGTCCGTTCTCTCCTGTTGCTGCCTCCGG